AGACGGCGGCGGCCTCGAGGATGAAGGAGGCTATGGCGGCGAGGAGGGAGGTAAGTTGCTGCTTAAAATCAGATTTTGGATTTGAGAGCATGGGTTGTGTTTGAGAATTAGATAAATCCTGGAGATTTGATTGCAATTTCAAAACTTATGAGTTATTGCAATTCGATCCTTGGGGTCAATTTGTAATCTAATTAAAACAGTCTAGCCCTTCGATTTTTAATATATAATTAGTGCACATTTAGTTTATTTATTGTGCATATTTAGGTAATACAAACGTATATCTTAGTTCATGCATAATACTATAGGACCCTTCTTTATAATAATGGGCAATCCTACTCATTAATTTATGTAGATCAATGGCTCATATTAATCAATTGAAATTTATTTAATTATTTAAAAAATAATTATTATTATATTGGAATTAATTATATAATAAATAAATTGATTGGCCGGAGGCCAGTAGTCAAACCAGTCAATATTTTTTTTTTTATTATATAATTTATTTGGTTTAATAATATTTATTTATTTTTATTAAATACTGTATTATATAATGTACATTTATTTCATTCATTACACATATTAGATATGCATATTTAGATGACAAAAAATGCATATTTAACTTATAATTAATGCTTAGTTCATAGGATAAAGACAATAGCTACAATTAGTAAGGCTCCAAAATATTACTCTCAATTACATATTACATGTTTTGACTGCACATTTAGTTCATACAAAATGCATATTTAGTTCATACATAGTGCATATTTAGTTTATTTAGTTGATGAACAATTGATACTTAGTTGATACTTAGTAGCAGGATATTGTTGTCAACTGCATGTTTTGACTGCACATTTAGTTCGTACAAATGCACATTTAGTTTATACTTAGTGAATATTTGGTTGATGAACAATACATACTTAGGTTATATTATTGTTGCACATTTATTTAGTTCATAAAAATTGCATATCTGGTTTATATCAAATACATATTTGGTTTATATCAACTGCATTTTTCGAGTGCACATTTACTAATAAAAAAATGCATATTTAGCATACACATTTAGTTTTTATCAACTCTATATTTCGAGTACACATTTGCTTTATACACATCTTTAGTTCACACATAATGCGTTCTATGGTCAACAGTCAACACCGAAAATCAACAGTTAACGTCAAATGGTCAAATCAATATCTAAATAATTTAAAAATACAAAACAGAAGATTAAATTTTCGCCACACATCGTGTTCCTTATCTAATGACTAGAATTTGGCCCCACATTCCATTTTAAATAATTGAAATCATTTGAACTAATTCCTACATATATATATGGAATGTGGTTCGAATGAGAACCAAGTCTTAATGTGAGAACCGCTATTTTTATTTATTAGTATTGCTATGATTAATTGTATTTGGTGCTATAAGTAATCGATATATTTTATTAAAATTATCAACACAATTTATATTAGCATTGTGAAAATGATAGCACCATATAATATTTAAAATAACATTACACACAATTGAAAATATCATCAAATATGGTTCTCCTGGTTTTCACACCACGGCTAGTTTTTAATTGAATATGCCCCTATATATAATATATCACCCTCTATATAGAATGCCATGATCCTACATGTTTGGTGTTTCGTACTCTTGTGTCGAATTAGATACTTCTATCTTGT